AAAAAAAAAAAAAAAAAAAAAATCTGGATTTCTAGATTGAATTTTACCAAGTTATAGCCCACTCCTAATAACCATATTGATAGAAGTTTGTATACTTATTGCAGATCCCATGATGTATTTCCTCAATGCACGGGGCTACCCCCATACTGCAAAGGTTAAGTGCTCATATTGTCTAGAAGGCCAAAACAAAGTTTTATTCACCCGAACTGCAATCCCAGCTGCACATACACACGCTCCCTATGGCCTATCTTCTCCTCTGCTCCAGCAATAGCATGTCCCTTGGCATCTTCCTGTTCAATACACTGTATAGAACCTGATGACTCACAGGACCTTAGACCACTTGAGGAGTGGGGGAGTGAGTCTGAAGGGACCGGTCTAAGAGCAAGCCGGTATCATGGTTTGGGGGAATATACCTTTTTTTTTTTTTAGTTCCCTAGACAAAACTAGCAGTTAACCTTTGCAGCGAGGGGGTAACTCCACACCCTCCAATGACCTTCATGCTCTCCAGCCCCCACATACCCTACTACCATGCGTGCCTCCAGAGCCCATCTCTTCCACTGGAGGTCTCTACTCCAACCTGTCTGGTTATCTCCTTCTCAGTCTGCCTGTAGGTGACCAAGAAGCCTACCCACCTTCACCTAAAAATTTGACTTCCACTTTCTCCAGCAGCTCATCCCTCAGTCAATATCTTTTGTATTACTTGCCCATCCAGTTTAGATTGTAAAATCTCATGAGCATCCTGTTATTAAGTACTGAATTGTAGTGTAACCATACAGTCTTACTTTATTTTGAAAAACACTGAGAAAAAACTGCCGACGCCAAATAGAGATTTAAAAAAATAACCCCCACACCCACCTCAAACGCGCAGGGGTAAAAGGCTGTCAAGAACAGAAAATACCCCGGAAAAAAAAACTCACTGGTGGGATTAGGTACCGTTTTAAAATGACATTCTGAAAAATGTAATTCCAGTACTGTTTCCAAATGGATTCAACTGGTTAACAAAATAGAACTCCAGGATGCAATTAAAATGAACTGAAGTCTACAAAGGCCGTCTACAACAGTAGTTTTTAATGGAAACCTGTACGGAGACAAAAACATGAACGGCCATTGCTGATCTTCCTAAAATACTGCTTGCTGACATTCTTTGGTTTCAGTACATTCCCAGAACAAGCACGCAGATTAGAAACTCAAAGTAAAATCATTCATTTGTGTCTTATTTCTTGCTGAAGTTCAGCTTGAACTTGCACTACTGCCAGTAAACACAGGTAATGTCACTGGGCCAGCAAAATCCTGGGAAAGCCAAGTACACTGTGCAGGAGCAGCTTCTGGTGAGATATGGAATTCTCAGCGTTCGTGGATACTACTAGAAGGCCCAGTCGGACACCTATATACTTTTTTTTATTTAACCATTGTAAAAACATGGGCTTTCCAGCTGGTGGACGTACGTGTTTTTTTTTTCTGCGGGAGCGCGTGATTAGAATACCGCGGGCAATGTAAACAGTCGGTACTGGCTGTTACATACAAGAGTTCGGCTGACTCTATAGCCGGCCAATCGCTTTTATGACAAGATATAGCACGCGCCCCCCTTGCCACAACACCTTTAGCTGCCACTCCCCCCCCCCTCCGCTGCCGGTTTTCACAGCCTCC